CCTTATGTACTCACTCTCAGAACTGGAGTCGGAGGAGCTGTTCTCGTCCTCTTGCACAGGTACGCTGATGTCTTGAAAGTCCTCTCTCCGCTCTGTGAAACACTCACATTCCAGGCAGCGTGTCCGCAGCACCAGCTGACCCTGGAACATCCACTTCAGCACATCCAGGCCTGATTGCTCTAATTACACAGAAGTGACAGTGGAAATGCGACTGGCCCTGGCACGGACTAGCACACCCGCTTTTGGCCCAACAGTGGAAACGCGGCTTATGTACTCACTCTCAGAACTGGAGTCGGAGGAGCTGTTCTCGTCCTCTTGCACAGGTACGCTGATGTCTTGAAAGTCCTCTCTCCGCTCTGTGAAACACTCACATTCCAGGCAGCGTGTCCGCAGCACCAGCTGACCCTGGAACATCCACTTCAGCACATCCAGGCCTGATTGCTCTAATTACACAACATTGACAAATTCTTTAGTTATACAAGTTATTGATCACAAATTTACAGAGCCCCACACATGACATGGAGGAAATATATATATATATATATAAAAATGATATGTAAATATCATTTAATTGTATAATATCTGCATTACTTAAAAAAAAAAAAAAAAACTCGCTAGAGGAGAGGATTTGATCACAATTTTGTGTAAGATATTTACCTTTATTCTTTCCCAGACTCTGTTTAACTTCTTGAGTTCTGCTCTCATTCTCAGAGGTATCCTTCTCCTGCTTCTCTTGGACACTACAATCTGATTTCTCCTTGGTCTCTCCTCTCCCTCCCACATGTGAAGTAATTCGCCCCATGCTGCGGAACTTCGAGAAGATGCTAGGCTGCTTCCCAGATGGCTTCAACCAGCCCAGCTTCCCCCTCCGTGTCCTCTTGCCCACCTCTTTTGGGGTACTGTCATTCTTCTCCTCCTCTGTGGTGCTCCCTCTGTCCTTCTCTTGCTCTTTTTCTTGCTCCTCTGTTCCATTCCTCTGGTCAGAACTCTCTGTGGTTATGTCACTGGAGGACTTTCGTTTTGAGCGGGGCATAGGCACATTTTCCTCATTTTTCTTTGATTTGCTTTGAGATTTTGGCTTTTTCTTAGCATTGCCTGCTTCCGTGTCACTCTTTCTCTTTCCGCTCAACTGGCCATCGGAGCTCCCATCATCCTCGTGGGTGGACTCCCCCATTCCATTACTTATTGTGCTGTCCTTCTGGTTGTCTGTTTGCTCTTTTTTGATATTGTCACAGGCCTCCTGGATGTTAGCAAGGATGCACTGCAGCACCTCCTGTGCATCATGCTGCAAGTAACCCTCATACATTGGATTAAGCTGCCTGCAATGGAGAGATCAAACAGGTTTGTTTGGAAACTCATGAAACTCATTAAAGAAAAAGAAAAAGACTCCCTAAAAACTCCCTGAGAGGTTTAAATGTCTTTTCAATGTTCCTGAATGATGCTCTGGCCCACAGTATTACCTGAGTGTGTTAAGCAGCTTGCGAGGTGGTGTGGCAAGCTCTCCGTCACTGTATTTTTCCGGGTTAAGCAGGAAGCTGGATTGCAGCTTTTCCACCGAAGAGATGAGGCTGTGGAAACTACTCAGCAGCTCCATGGGAACAGGTAGGGTGTTCTCACCAGTGTCCCCCTGATAACATAAAAACATGCAATGTTTAATGCAATCAATTATAATAAAGGCAACAATTTTAACATGACAAATTATTCTGTACATTTACCCAATTAGCATTTTTTTCCCCGCTAAATGGAAACTATTAGTCAGTAACTTTATTCATCCCCTTGGGGAAATTTTGTTTCAGTGACTTGTTTCAATATGCGGCTCTCACAAAAGACAATACAACATAAATATTTACAGTAGAACAATACAATTTCACAGCAATTAATCAAGAAATTCTAATACTGAATGAGACCTGCTCACATAGAGAAGGGGAAGAAGAAAAAAAAATCTTCTTTCCTATTTTTCATTTAAAGGGGTGGTTCATTGCGATTTCAGTTTTTTAACGTTAGTTTGTGTAATGTTGCTGTTTGAGCATAAACAATATCTGCAACGTTACGAAGATGAAAGTTCAATGCAAACGGAGATATCGTCTTAAAATTCTGGCAGTTTAATGCCTACAAAAATGGCTGGTAGGGACTACAACAAGTTACTTCCCGGGTTCGTGACGTCACAAACCCAGATAAACCCCGCCCTCGGGAAAAGGCAACAAATGGGGCGAGGCCATGCTGCGCTGCTTTAGAGAAGAGGAAGAGAAAACTAGGGGTGCACATTAAAATCTATTCATATATGAATCGCGATTCTGTCTTCTAACGATTCTAATGGATTCACAAGTTTCAAAATCAATGTTCTAAAGCAGTGGTTCTCAATACTGTTCCTCGCGTTCCCCTGCTCTACACGCTCTGCATCTCTCTCTCGCTCTCTCTCTCTCTCATTCAGCTCAGCAATGAACTGTTCAAATTATACACTTATTTTCACATAGCTATGAGAAGCGTTAAACATAGAAGCACGTGCAGTTGTCGTACTGTACTAAAGCTTTAATCAGGATAAAACTGTACATTAAAAGCTAACATAAGCAGTAGCATTTACAAATAACAGCGTATCTAAAAGTATGAGACAACAACAATCAAAAAACATACCATTAA